CACGAGCACAAATGAGAGCACACATATGAGAGCATATGGGAGCACATATGAGAGCACATGAGAGCACACATCTGAGAGCACAAATGTGCTCTGAGAGCACATAGGCGAGTACATAGGAGCATTTCGAAGTTCACAATGTACCGCGCCTGCCACGAAATCTGCACATCGAGCTTCACAAAGTGCTGCGCCTGCCACGAAATCTGCACATCTAGATTCACACAGTGCTGCGCCTGCCACGAAATCTGCACATCTAGATTCACACAGTGGTGCGCCTGCCACGAAATCTGCACATCAAGCTTCACAAAGTGCTGCGCCTGCCACGAAGTCTGCACATCGAGATTCACAAAGTGCTGCGCCTGCAACGAAATCTGCACATCGAGATTCACAAAGTGCTGCGCCTGCCACGCAATCTGCACATCGAGATTCACAAAGTGCTGCGCCTGCCAGGAACTCTGCACACCGAGATTCACAAAGTGCTGCGCCTGCCACGAAATCTGCACATCGAGATTCACAAAGTGCTGCGCCTGCCACGAAATCTGCACATCGAGATTCACAAAGTGCTGCGCCTGCCACGAAATCTAGATTCACACAGTGCTGCGCCTGCCACGAAATCTGCACATCGAGATTCACAAAGTGCTGCGCCTGCCACGAAATCTGCACATCGAGATTCACAAAGTGCTGCGCCTGCCACGAACTCTGCACATCGGAGATCCAAAATGAGCAAATTGCACGAGGCTTTCGCAAATTTTGAAATGCGTTTCAGAAATGCTGTGCCTGCCACGAAATCATGCCTGCAGGTCATACGAAATGCTGCACTGGCCACGCAAAATCATCCTCAAGGTCAAAGTCCAAAAATGCGACCCCTCTCACGAATTCAGCCGTTTCACCTCAAAATATCGCATCCATGGTGCGGATTCCCTGCGCCTGCCACGTGAAACGCAGTCCTGCGAATGACACACGCCTGCCAACGTTTTTGCAACGTCCGCAAAACACTGCGCCTGCCACGAAATTTGCAAAGTCTCCGATTCCTTGCACCTGCCACGTAAAATGACCTTTTCGAGGCTCCAATGTGTCGAATTCCTTGCGCCTGCCACGCGAAATTCACTTCAGGTCTGAAAACGAGCACGGCGCCTGCGCGAGAGCTTTGTCCCGGAAGCGCGAAAACCGCGACCCCCACTTTATGCGAGCCTGCGCAGTCGAAATGGACATGAGGAATTCAAAAAGTAACTTGTGCGCGAGCCGGCCCACGCAACATGCCGCGCCCACACGCGCGAACCCTGATCTAAACCCGCTTAACTCTTACCGTAAGAACCCCTTAGTGCGGAGCACTATTTGGGGAACAAGAGGTCGAGTGTGCTTGGTTGCTGTTGCTCTCTAACGCTAGCGGTCTCCTAGCTCCTCTTGCGCTCTACCCTTTGCCGTCCTATCACTCTAAGAGTTCGGCGCTGGTTGCTTCTGGTGTCTTTGCGTTGGAGGATTTGTCCCTCTGGCTTGCACGTGCTCCTGCCCTGTTCACAGGCCCACCTGTTGTTGAGCCCACGTCTCGCCAGTCGCTCTATATGCCCCCTTTCTTGCGTCGACTGTTTCTTGCTAACTACTCTCTGTGGCATGCTTTCTAAGTCCTTTTCCTACCCTGCGTCTCCAACCTACGGCGTCGACGCCTCGACCCCCAACCTCTCGACCCCCGCTGGCCTCGCTGGCGCATCAACTTGCGGACAATGTGCTTGAGGGTGGAGTGACTTCTTGATGTCCTCACCGGGGCTGTGGCTGGCTGGCATGAGCGACGCTCTTGTTGCCAGCTGACAGCTGCCGCCTCCCAGCATGCATCGCTCCATGTGCCTCCTCTCTCTCCGCGACGGCTCTCCCGACTTTTGGCTGCTGCGTGCAGCCAGGGCAGTCAGCCCCCGTCCCTCGGACGGGTGCTGCCGGGTGCCCCAAACCCCGGCCCCCGTCTTCTCCGTGGAAGACTCCATGGAAACATGGAGGGCTTAGTCTCCGTCGGTCCCTTACCGACACAAAAACCCGCAAACACCGCGAGCGACACCTACCGTCACCGCCACCCACACACACCGACCTATGCGCGGGACTGCTCCTGCCCAAGCTCTCTTACCCACGTGCGCCGGCGCCCGGCTGGCAGGCGTAAGCCTTTAAATCCGGGCGCCGGCCACGCGCCCGTGTCCTTGCCGGAGGCCTTCGGTTGGTAACCGAAGGTTATATACGCTCGCCGCCCTGCCGCCGACCCTTTTGTTGGACCCCGTCTCGACTCCCGCCCGACCCCCGGTCGACCCCCGCCCGAATCCGGTCGACAGAGTTATATGTATGTCAAATGTACCCTGGGCATCAGATATTGATCCTAATCAATATTCTTGAAAAAAATCAACAATTTCTATTGATTTGGGCGCGTGCTTTTTCAATAGAAATTCTTCCTCAAAGCCAAGCAAAAATCAATAGGAAATTCAATAAACAGCAACATGGTCAGCTTGATCAAATTTGATCAAATTTGATCAAAAACCAGCCAAATTTGATCAATGATCAAATTTGATCAAATTTGCTTTTTCGAAGCTGCCCAGAAATCAATACCGGAATCAATATCAAAATCAATATGATTTTCAACATTTTTGGCAAATCAAAAATATTGATATTTTTTCGGTTTATTGATTAGGATCAATATCCGATGCTCAGGGTATCTTGCGTAGGATGTTCAAAAACATCGATTTTTTTACAGTGTTTTGCGGCCTTCGGCGTCCACGACTTTCGCCTAACAGGGCGCCCGTGGTGTCGGTTTCGCGTGCCGCGCGGACAGGCTTAATCGACATTTCGTGGGTGTTGGGCACAGAAGTTGCCTAACATCTCCCCAACATAGGCCCAAGATAGCCAACATATCCCCAACATATGCCCAACATAGCCTTCAAGATGGGTCAACATAGGGCCAACATAGGCCAACATGGGGACAACATTCGCCAACATAGGCCCAACATAGGATTAACATGGGCCCAAGATGTGCCCAACATAGACCACATGGCCCCAGATGCGCCCAACATATACCACATGGGCCCAACTTGGCTCAACGTAGGGCTAAGATGCGCACCAGATAACTTCACCCTAGTGGGCCGGCGCCCGGCTGTCAGGCGTAAGCCTCATAAATAAACGCATTGCATGGATAAAACTGACGCGATACATATCTCATAGTCATATCTCTTTGGCATTTGCCAAATTACGAGTATATTATATATATATACATATTTGCATTGAAGTGGGTCAATTGTGCTCCTTAGATGGATTTCCATGGGATTCTGCCTTCTGACTTGCAATGAGTCTTAAAATTCTTTTTGCTCCCACCAACACTCCGGATGTCACAGCACGTGGCCCATGAGGCGATCAGTCACCTGTGTCCGGGCCGAAGAGGTGCGCTAGACGCACACAGCTTCCGACAAGCTACATCGAACACCATCATACAAACATTGCATACAAACCTATAAACACACATGAGAATACATGAAGGAGCTAATGATCACCGCAAACGTGGTGATCTGCATCTTGTCATGTTGCCCTCCAAGTTGCCCAGTCGTGGATTTTTTGAAGGTTTTGGTCTGGTGGCTGCACCTTAAGGCAAGAAGCAACGGACAAAGATTAGTAGAAAAGCAGGAACAAAGTAGGACAAATAATTGTAGGAAAATAGGATAAACACATCAAGAAAAACAAACAAGGAGCCAGGCAAGAGGAAGAAAAATAAGCAATCATAGTGCAATACGGATCATAGCGTGATAGAAGAAAGGTAAACCCTCTGAACCCTGACCTCCCCCACCAAAGCCGTGATTCCCTGTCCATTGCCAGCTGCAAGGCTTCTGAACTGAGCCAAATTCTGGTTCCTTTTGTTGTTCCGAACTTTTCCCACGTTTGATGCTATCTATTTCCCACGTGTTTCATAATAACAAATATATATATATATATACAACTATATATATATATATACTTGTTTGGTCGCACCCAGTCGAGGCTTAGCTTCCTCAACATAAAACTAGTCAATCAAGTCAAAGCTGCTGGGTCTGGATCGGACATCCCATCTGCAATCCTCCTCCTCGGCAGCTCAAGCACAAGCACTGGGGTCACTGGACCTTGGGCTGCAGGTATATGGCGAGTAGAAATATTGATATAGGTGTGTTATTGAAACTTTACTCATGCCAAGGATTGCCAAGGTCAGGCATGGCCTTCACTAGTGGGTGTGCGCATGTGCCTCCCAAATCTCAAGATTTTGGTATCTAGCCTAATCATAGCTGAGAGGACAGCCCTGTTAGCCTGGTTCATGACACTCTTAATTAGAGACTGGTTGAAAGGTTCTTCAATTCCAGAATTATAGAGAAACATGAAAGTCAAAGGCATGTCACCGTGCCTGATTGCCACTGAATCTCTTCGAGCCGTGTGCTGGCGGAGGTGGTGGTGGAGGTGGTGGTGGCGCAGGTGGCACAGGTGGCGGCGGTACTCTCTGCAAGCGTTCCTGTTGGGTTTTGCCAATGCCCACTTCATTGGATCTGTTCAAGGACGAGGCATCTTGAATGCACGCCCTCCATGACGTAAAGCACTGCTCAACCCAAACTCATTCGCAAGTATCACAGCTCAGGCTCAGCTGCCTTCTCAGACGAACATCACATGACAGCGACGCGAGAAACATGACGTTCGCCTCTCTCTTTGGAAAGACGCTGTGGGTAGTGCCCTCTCGTCGGACCACATCATCTCCTCGGTCCTGCCCAGCCTGCCTGCGGCAACGAAGCTGGCGTTCATTCCAATCAATGTTCAAATTCCGCATGCACACAATGGCAAAAAATGCAAAAGGTATCAAATATTACTGTATCAAATACTTGCAATTTATCCTATCCAGAGTTGGCAAGGTTGTTCGCATAATTCCTCCGCACGACATGGCTAGTGCCAACGGTGAGATGGAGTCTGCAGGTAGTTATGGTTCTCAACATGGTGCGGTCCGCGCATATTCTCATAACCTAAACCTGGAAACAGGTGCAGTGGACAAACTGTCCCAAGTTCCTATGTTTGATAGCCCAGTGATGGCAACGAATACCATCACATTCGGGGTGCATGAAGAAGCATTCGTCTAAGTGTCTTGGCGTACAATATTGCACAGGTTGGACCCGGTGCTTGTTGAGAAGGCTGCCAAGGAAGGAATCTGGCCCATGTCTCCAGACAAACAGGGGTGGTGGGCTGACTGGCCGGTACCGGCAGTACCACAGGAGCAGGTGGCACCTGCTTAGGCGCAGTCGGCGCCGCTCGACACGCCCGATCTCCGCAGAGGGTTGCGCGCGCACAGACCCAATCGCGCTCTCGCCTGCATATCGCGCGCTCGACGCGCACGATCTCCGTAGAGGGTTGCGCGCGCGCAGACTCAATCGCACTCTCGCCTGCATTTCGCGCGCTCGACACGCACGATCTCCGCAGAGGGTTGCGCGGGCAGCCGGCAAATCGCACTCTCGCCTGCATTTCGCGCACTCGACACGCACGATCTCCGCAGAGGGTTGCGCGGGCA